CGACACCTTGCCTCTACCGTACTCAAACTTGACATACTTCTTCTCCCCCTATCATTATTCAAGCCGATGAAAGCCTCTCGGTTTAAAATAACTGACTGTTTGGAAGGAAGAGGGGGAGGAAATGTAAGATCAGGGAGCCCCATTCTAACTGTCTGGCAATTAATTGCACCAAATTACATCAATTTACCCTTGAGGACTCAAAGTGAAGAGTCACTGGTGTGCAGTGGCTTCCCTGAGTCATTAATTAGCAAGGAGCACGTTCTTGTTTGTGAACAATGTATGATTTAAGATTGAATTAATTTGGTTAGCATCAAACAGATATCAACAGTTGATTTTAGTTTGAGTTGGGGAAAAGGAAGACCCTTAAGATCAAATTAATCAAAGTGATGAAACAGAAGAGTAAGCTGATTTAAAAGTATTTGAAAAGGAACAAATGAGTATTTTGATAAGTTTGAATATAGATCCAATCATCCAATCATATTGTATTAGGACTAATTGTCCAAGACAGAATATCTTCAATTTTCATTTGAAGGGGCATTAATTATGAACACTGATTGATATTAAAAAAAGGATGGTTATCAAGTTCAAATTACATCTATCCCTTTAAATGCTGGTTATTACTGTTTTTTTGTAGCAAACTAAATTGATTGCAGCCTGAATATCACACTCTTTCACTACCAAGCTTATTACTAATTAAGCACAAATTATCAAAAGAATAGATATCTTTTCAACAGTAACAGCTGAGCCTGCAGACGTTCTCGTAATAAGGCGTCAACTCTAATTACAGGAAGTATCGTAAAAATGGTATCTGATCATGAGCACATTCAATCATTAAAAGGGCTCACATTGCCAAGGAATTTCAAGTGCAGCATTATGTTAGCAACTGTCAAAAATAGCTTGCGATGTTCAGTAACCAAGCAAGCCGATATCTTACGAATTATCACCTGCGATGCGACGAAAAGAGAGTTTGTTGCCCCGGGTGGTGCGATAATTAAAATAGGAAGTGGGAGAATACCCTGACATCACTGAGGGGTATAGAATAGGGTGGAGAGGGGTGCAGGGCTAGACATGCTGGCACCCACTGAGGAAGTTTTGGATTGGAAGGAAGGAGATGGGTTGTGGATGTAGGGATCGTGGATGTAGGGAAGAAGGGTTACGTGGATAGGCATACACGGGACTGCATGTGAAGACCATAGGTTATGTGAATCACTGTCATCGACTTCCAGACTAAGGTTCACCAATTTAAAATACTGCTGCTGTTCATGATTAGATACAGAGGTCACAGAAATTATATAACATTTACAGTGACCTAGCTTATACCGGTAATTAATAATTCATTTATGGGGTGGTATTTTCACATCTAACATTGATAACACACTGTAGTAGGCGGAACTCAGCTACTAAAAAGTTATCAGTATTAAATATTAAATTATCCCAGTATCACTAGAAGTTTTAAACTACCCGATGGCTCACTATATGTATTTGATCTATAAATACAGAATTCATTGCTTGAAAGAGATCATTGCTCGGTTTTGCAATTGGATAGACTTACTGTGATTCCTAAAGAATAATTACATTGCACTTTGTAGTGTTCCTACTTCCCTTCAAACATCTGTATACATCTAACTTTTGAGTATGTGTCATTTAAGACGATTGAATCCGTCCTAATCTGCTTATGAAAGACAAGGTAAGGACTTATCAGTACAGGATCCCACAGAACCTTGCTTGGCTTGTAGCCATACAGACATAAAGTTGTTCAGATTAAGCAACATTACCTTTGAAAGTCCTATTATTCAAGTAATCAGATTTAAACATGCCACCAGCAGATAATGCAAGTGAAGGTATTGGGGCATATAGAACAATCGGAAATCAAAGATGACACATGCTCAAAGACAGGGAACATACTCAGTGCGTTCAAGAAAAGCTCTCTCTCCCTCTCTCTCTCTTTCCCTTTCTCACTCTCTCAGTCAATCACTTTCTCTCTCTCTCTCTCTCTCTCTCTCTCTCTCTCTCTCTCTCTCTCTTCTCTCTCTATCTATCTCTTTCTCTCTCTCTCTTACTCTCTCAGTCAATCACTGTTTCTCTCTCTCTCTCTCTATTTCTCTCTCTCTCTCTCTCTCTCTCTCTCCCTCTCTCAATCACTTTCTCTATCTATCTCCCCCCCCCCCCTCTCTCTCTGTACCTTCACTTTTGGAATGGCTTCAGAAAATCACAACCAAAGCTGATCTGTTACAGGAAAATGACACATTGGAGCACCCATCATTATCTTTCTTCTAATAGATACCCTACGAAGTGGGCTACTCTATTACCAGATCTTTGTTGTTCTACCTAATTCAATTTCCTTTTCCTCCTGTCAAACTATGGCATGTCTTTCATAAACCTACCTTTTTTCATATGAACGATAGCAGTGGGATGCTCTTCATAGTGACTTGGTAACATTGCCTCAGAAACAAAATCCTGGGTTTAGCTCATGCTGCGATCATAATTATAAACCTTTAGGTAAGTCAGGAATCCCATGACTTTTACAAGCCGATTGCCTGTCTGGTCATTGTTAAACGATGCCTTTAATACTGATGGATGCTTTCCATCACAGCTATATTGCCGGCATGAATCAGATTCTCTTTATCTATGATCTTTTACAACTAAATACAAGCGTTTCAACCGGTTTCATAATTCATATGTTTCCATTGGAGTATACACTCATTTTCCAAAGGACAAAGCCAGAGATATGTCGATCACTGTCATAAATGGGTTAAAATATTAGCTTGCCTAAATCCCTTAAAGAAGGACAAATGAAATAGAGTTGTACAGAGGTTCCTTTTTGAGCAAAAGATACAAAAAAGACAACGTGATGTGATTACACTTCCGGTCTAAATTGTGACTACTGAAGGTGTCCTAAGTTGATTGGCTGTCAAACAACTTAGCATACAATCTCCGGAAACCACTGTTGTTGCTACCAATATTCTTGAAAATCTCGTTCAAGGCTTTTAAAGCGAGACAGATTGTCGTGGACCAAGATTCCTGACGTCACGCACGTGATTTATTACGCGTGTGAGCATTTGGGGGCTTAACGTGAATAGTCTCTGAAACGATCTCCCGTTGATATTCAATCACGGTCATCTTATCGTAGCAACCGGAGTTTAGCCATGCTGATTTAGATCTTCACACCTTATGATACTTTTTAAGGAGACTAACCGTATATCTGTAAAGCGCTTAGAGACATCATAGATGTATTAAGCGCTATATAAAAGGGGAGTTATTATTATTGTTACATGAAGTGATTACACTTTCATTCATGTACCAGAATACTATTTTTGTTTAAAGGAGGCCTGACATCCCTTTTTTGTTCAAGCATTTATTAGTCCCTAATATCATCCCAAATCAATGTTTTAATATCTACTTCTGATAAAACATTAATGTAAAAAACAAAGTTGCTGTGATAACACAATCTGATGTATTGCTAACCTAAACAATAAATGGTTGGAATGGATACACTGAGCACAATAGGAATAATTTACAGCAAGCTCGAGGACAAACTAATAAGGTCTTGAATAGCATCTAGCCTAGCAAGGCAGTGACGTCAAGCATCAGTAAACCCTGATGAAGTGCACCTGAATGCCTGGTTGCACACTGCTTCTTCCAGTATTAAAAAAGTCTATCTTTGGAAGCAAGTAATATTTCAATGGCCGCATATTTTGATATATTACCTGCAAAGTCGTAAATAGAAGTAAGTAAACATAAATCTATTATGTTTCTCAATCAAAGAGGTCAGCTGAAGATCGAAGTACATGTACGCTGCTGAGTTTAACCAACAAAAAGACTTATATATGACAAAAACACAATCAAAGGGAATATGTATACATTGCTGAATCTACACTTTACTGACGACATTGTTGGATTATATAGTTCAATATTTTTACATCTACTTCAAAAAAAAAATCCTTACACAAAGATTAAATGAATACTGTAGATCTAGTTCATGCATTCCAAGAAGCAAATTATCATGGGTTACCATGGATTACCATGGGTCAAAGGTTACCTCTATTTAAATTCTGCTATTTTTAATTTCTTTGAATTTTGCTACTTCTTTGTCTGTTTCATATTCTGGACAAAGACAAAGGCCACCTTGAGAAGTAATTAAGTTCATCATTGCTGCTGAAAAGAATCTCTTTGATTTATTGACCCCCCCCCCCTCCCATTTTCTTTTGTCAGTAAATGATGGGGGACAGGAAACTGTTTACGTCTTTAGTGAGTTTTCAGGGGTGGCTTTCTTCCTTCAGTGACTTGCTAATGACCATCTGTCAAGCTTCTATGACATGACCGATTGGGATTAAACTATAATCTAACTTCCGCATCACAAAATTAATTAATTCAGAGCTACCACATCTGGGTCATATGCTTTAACCTAAACAGTGGACAAAGATCAGGAATCTATTGTCCAAGTTATTGAACATATCCCGCTAATATACATCCCGCTAAGTTCAAAGAGGATTGTTTACTTTGAGAGTAATATTGCCTATAATATGTACAAACATGCTACTGTCATTCTTTTTGCTATTGTAACAAATCCTGACAGTAAATGAAAGGGGGAGGGCTAATTCATATTTTATGGAAAAGAGATTGAAGCTAAAATGGAATATACTATTCTACATGGTTTCCCTATTCATTCCATTTCTTTTGATCGATTCCCTCTATTTTATCTTGAGGCCAGTATAGATATTAAAATAAAAAGAGTTTGTACACCAATTTTCCCCGCCCCCCCCCCCCTTCCAAAAATATGCAATCCTTTGTTAAGTCTACTTCTCAAGGCCCACCCTCTTAAGTAATAGATAATCAATTCTACTCTTCACTGACCTCTGTTCAGTTCTTGAATCTTTTCTCTTCTTTGTTAACATGACAAACTCAATGAGATAATTTTCGTTTTGGTTTAACTTAATATACTTTGGAGTGGACTTTAAAAGATTATTATTAATATTTTTATCATTATTAATCTTCCTTACCTGTATACTTCTGAAGATTTGATCGACTAGTTTGGTGGAGACCTGATCCTCTGCTTGCTTCAGTAAATCTCTCGTGACAAGGGATGAGGCAAGCTGGGATATCTGAAAATAGAAAGCCAAGGGGAAGGAAAATAAATAAAGAATCATGACAAAGACACCTCCAGGAAAGAGAAATCCTTTGACTAACATCCTTGACGACTAAAAGCTGCCAGCGTATGTTGTACACATCAAATATTACAATGTATACATACATCAAGAATCAAGTTTATTTGTCTTCCAGAAATCACATGTAACAAAATATAATAGAGTATAATCATGCATGTAACAGTACAATGTAGAATAAAGAAAGACGAGGAGATCTTGGTTGAAGCACAGCTTGTTAAGGTCCCCTCAGATGATATGACAAAGATAACAGATTCATGAATACAAAAACAAATAATATATGGAATATATCAAGCTTTTTAGAAAATACACTCAGAAAACCCAGTTACAAAACTTTTTTGTACAGATCTTGTAGCTATATAAGAACAAAATATCATCTGTTGTATCCAGAAGAGCATTAAATATATGGAAAAAAAATACATATCACCCTTCTGGCTTTCAGGGGGAAGATATAAAGTCATGATGAAACATTTAATGAATGCAGTATATCTTGGTATATGTCAAATTAGACTGTATTTTTATCAACATGAACGTCGATCTACATACAGCAATTCCTAGACACTAGAAAACTCATGCATTTGCTCCATGTCAAGCAGGTCTTCCATACTATTTTGGATCTCACCACAAATATTTTCCAGGATATCTTACCGTACAATTACAAATACAATTACAATGTAGCCGTTCCATATTGTAAATTTCCAGTCGTGAAACAGAAGAGCACTCTACATAAAGATGCTATCATCTCCACAAGAAACTTGTACTACTTACTTCACTGTGCACAACATTTTATCAGAAAGTACAAGTGAAACCTCTACATTCATAAGTAACAGATGTTATTTGTACGTGAGTTGTTTTTATGCTATTCATGTTGATCCCTTAATGCAAATCACTTGATCAAAGATCACAGGAAATAGGAATATATCCATTTCGTAATTCCGTAGCTGCAAATCTTTTCATAATTAATTCCATGTTATTTGAACTGCAAAACCACAATTATTAATTCGGATTATCCCGTCTAAAAAGAAAAATAACAACATTAATGTTTGTAAAAGGATTATGCACACCTACACACCTAATTTTAGTCTATTTGAATAGATTGATGGAATATGGGAGAGTATAAAAGGAGACCTCACCCCAAGAAATAGCTTTAGTTATTTTAAGAGATACATGTACAGTATATAGTATTCTTGCCCATTAATCTACAAGATTCCTCACCAAAGAATACATCTCATTTTTCAGCATACTTCCACTTATTATGTGGAGTGAGGTTTCTTTTAAGCTTCATTGCATGTCTATTATCAAACATATCCGCTCAATAATGACTCCATGTGTGTATTATAAACAGATGTTTTCTTGCCAGTTTCATGCTGTGCTTATAGCTATAGGATAAGTTTTTATCATATCATCAACACCTTATATCCTCTGAAAAAGGTGCTATATCAATACAAAATCTTCCTCTTCTTCTCCTATTCCTTCTCCTTTTCTTCTTCTTCTTCTTCTTCTTCTTCTTCTTCTTCTTCTTCTTCTTCTTCTTCTTCTTCTTCTTCTTCTTCTTCTTCTTCTTCTTCTTCTTCTTCTTCTTCTTCTTCTTCTTTCTTCTTCTTCTTCTTCTTCTTCTTCTTCTTCTTCTTCTTCTTCTTCTTCTTCTTCTTCTTCTTCTTCTTCTTCTTCTTCTTCTTCTTCTTCTTCTTCTTCTTCTTCTTCTTCTTCTTCTTCTTCTTCTTCTTCTTCTTCTTCTTCTTCTTCTTCTTCTTCTTCTTGTGTATTCAGGATGTTATTTCTGTGTTAAAGTATATAAGAGTTAATGCCCTTCTGGCTTCAAACAGATGATTTTACACTAAAATGTAAAAGGCCAACATTGACATCTCCATTTTTCATTTAAAAGCATTTGTTAACAAAATCACAATTTCATTCAGCAAATATTCGTAATCACAAAATCCTCAGTTTGATCTCTGACATTTCAACGTGGGATATGAACCATCATTTCCAACATTTTCTGTAATGACTGAGCAAATTTGTGGTTCCCCGAAGGCCATATGCCTCTGTTGTCAAGACTTACTCACTGCTGAGAATGGCTCCAGAATCAAAGTAATAAGCTCAATACAATGGCTGGCCAATTAGGCAAAGAGAGGGGGAACTGATAGTTCTTGTCAACACAAATTCAAGCTTGTGATTATCGTTTAATGTTTGGTAGCAGGGAGAAAGAAATAGGTACTCATCGTTGAATTATAAAACAGGAGTCTTTTGGGACTAAGGAAAAAGGGCAAGACATTTAATGTGAGAAAAATATGAACAGTTAGATGACACACCAAACAGAGTTTCTAAGCAACTGTAGAGGGTAAGATAAATCTGAAGGATGAGAATGAGTAATTTGTACAAAACAATGACTTTCAAGTTTACAGCATGATGTAAGTAGGGTATGTTTGCCCCCAAATATGGGACTATCATTTGGGGGCGATCCGATCCTGAGCTAAGTTGCTCACCACTCATTTTTCTGTTGTTCATTGGTTCGATCTAGCAGTTAAAGGTTTGTACTCTGGTCAGTAGATGTGAGTGATTGACGGGTGTGAAATTCCTGTTCTTCCTGACCAGGAAACAATCTTAATGACAGTGGCGGATCCAGGGGTGGGCCGAAACGGCCGCGGCCCCCCCTATTGGCGGCGCAAAAAAATTGAGAAGGAAAAAAGAGGAAGAAAAAAAAAAAAAAAAAAAAGGGGGAAAAGGAGAAGATAAAAGAAAAGAGAACAAAAAAGTAAAGAAAAGAGAGAGAGAGTTCAAAAAAGAGGAAAGAAAAAGAAGAGAGGAGCCGGGGAGAAAGAAAGACAACGAAATGGCACTAAAAATTAGTGACAGTAACGACGAATAAGGGAAAGACAAGGGGAAGGGGGTGCGTAAAGGCGGATGCATTGAGGGGAGGGGGGGGGGGAGGGGTGACTGGCTGTATTCTTATTTTTAGGTTATGCGAAACTGAGTCGAAATTATGCTTCTTTTCAAAAAAATCTTAGCATGCTTTTTAATGTTAAGCCGTAGTGCATGAAAAGGTTAGTGTAGAAACACTTCTGAAAAGGCCGCGCCCGGCCCCTCCAAAGAACTGCAGAATGGTAATCTATAAATTATGTGGTCATTCTTGATGGCTTGGGAGTCGTTAAAAGGAGGGGGCCGGCCCTACTAAAATGGTAGTGACGGTAACGATGGATAAGAGAATAAGGAGGAAGGGATGCACATGCAGGCGCGTACGCAGGGGGGGGGGGGGGGGGGGGTCGAACCCCCCTCAAATTTTTGTCAAGTTGTCAAGTTGGTCCTGATGTGTATAATGCGTAGACCAGGGGTTCTCAAACTTTTTCTTTGACGGTCCAGAAGCGATTTCTATGAAAGCTGTTAGGTCCGAAATGACACTTGTATACTGAAGATAATGAGGCTTGTTTTTGGTCTATATCTGATCCAAGGAGAATTGTTAGAGTTTAAAAAAAACAGAACCGCCAGTGCTTCCACTCGTTTAAAAATAGATTTTCCTGAAAAATAACATCCAATATCCTGGAATTTGAAGGAATTTTCTTAAAACTTTCAAAATGCCTCTTACGTGGATTTCTTATTTGGATGAATCGCTATGACGTTTTAATATATATTAATTATTGAGTGGGCTTATTTTGCTTTCTAGTGGATCCATACAACACGGCAGAGCTTGAGGGGCCTGGCAGAGCCTTTTCAAGAGAGAAATTGTCTTTAGGAGAAAAAAAGAGGTTATTCTAAAATGAAATGAAAGGGTTATTGACTTTCAAGAGAGAAAATTGTCTATAAGAGAGGAAGAGAGGTTATTTCTTAAATGAAATGAAAGGGCTCTTGTCAAATTGCCCTTTCATTTCATTTTTTCTCTCGAAATAAACTCTCTTTCTCTCTTATAGACAAATTTATGAGATGGAATCTTCAATCTGAAGCCTTTTTGTGCTCTTTGAAAATGGCACACTGAATGGGGGCAGTGCAATTTAAATTCCAAGGGATGGATTAGAGTTTTTATCGCTCTTGAAAGTCAAATAGCCCTTTCATTTCAGAAATAAGGCTCTCTTTCTCTCTTATAGAAAATTTTATGAGATGGAATCTTTAATCTGAAGCCTTTTTGTGCTCTTTGAAAATAGCACACTGAATGGGGGCAGTGCAATTTAAATTTCAAGGGATGGATTAGAGTTTTTATTGCTCTTGAAAGTCAAATATCCCTTTCATTTCATTTTAGAAATAAACTCTAATACATTCCTTGATATTTAAATTGCGCTGCCCCTATTGTGTCCTCTTTTTAAAGAGCAAAACAGAGCCCTCAGATTAGGCAGCAAGTAGCAAAACAAACCCGTAACACTGGACACAACATTCAATGGGTGATGCCCATATCATTGAGTTTGAAACGCACTTCTGGTCAAGAATGGTAGAAGAAGCATCTGCATAAAAAAGATGAATCCTTCACTGGATAGGGATTCTTGCTATACACTTTTACCTTTGTGTAAATAATAAAAGGTCCACGGCCCAAGTTAAAAATGCTGAAAATTATATGTTGAAGAAACATTACTCAATGTTAAAACTGGGAAGCCTTAAAGGTAAAGACCAGTATTGGAAACGCTCCAATTTCAAAAAATGAAATGGAAGCTCTCATTACCAATCATGTGAAAGAATATGTTTTGACTAATACATGATGATACAAAATTTGCCAGGAAACCGCCTACTAATTCATATATTTGGTAAATTTGTTTCTCTCATGGTCTGTGAGAGATATAGGGTAGTCCCATATACATCTTTCTGTGTATAGTGCTTGTAACTTTATGAAGAATGGGCCAATTTTTTATCATTTAGATGATTCCAGAACCTTGCAGATGCTAGATGCTAGATGATCAACCTTTTCTGATCGATTTCACAACGTTTCTTTTACAATTATTATAGCAGTGAAGATGTGCTTT